CACACACACACACACACACACACACACACACACACACACACACACACACACACACACACACACACACACACACACACACACACACACACACACACACACACACACACACACACACACACACACACACCAATCATTCAGATGTTTGGCATTGTTTTACGATACCTGAAGTGGGTCTTTAAATAACTTCATTGGTCCAAATTGCACCTCTGTTAATGTGGTCTGAAAGACAAGAAGAAGAACACAAGGATTAGAAAAATAATCATTTCAGAAATGTGATATTGTCTCAGTTATTTCATATTTGTGTTCTTGTTGACATTGCTTCATCATTGTTGAGACCCCACTGCTGTGTGTGTAATAGTGATAATCAACAATAACAAAATCAACCAGTTTGTGACCTCATTAAAACAGTGTGTACAAAAGTATTGAAGTGAGATTTGGGTTATTAATGAACACATTTATCAATTCACAGACAAATAAATGTACAGTATGTTATCCTACATTATGTGTGAAGTTACTTATATTATTAGGGTCAGTGTGTATTTCCATTTCATTCTACTCCATACCTCTACTCCTCCACAGCTTTGTTTACTAGTTCCTTTACAGATTTTACGTACAAAATGTGTGATAATTGAAAAAAAATGAGTGCTTTTAGAAAAGTGCTTAGTAAAGTCCTTTTCTTTGTAATTATTTCAGTAATTTTCAATGCAGGACTGAGTATCTTATAATTTTTCCGTAAAAACGGTACGCTAAGGAGGGACTTTGCGTCTCAGATGTGAGGCCGCACATGCACAAGCCGTGATCTGAAGCCAGCGGTGCAGCTGGTGAAGCAGAGACAAGAACTTTTTTTGTCATTGTTGGGCAAGATACTGGCGTACAGGTGACGACCAGTGCAATAAGTGATAACACAACTTAAAGATCCATTTTGATTTTATGGAAAGAGGATCTGAAAACTTCTGAAAACCACCACTGACTGAATCAGCAAAAACAAATGCAATGTCATTTCTGATTCAAATGTACAGTAGAGGTTTTCAACTCATTACTTTTCCCCTACATGAGTTCACTCTTTTCTGTCTGCAAATAATTGAGCTTCCTTCCTGCTAAATGGAACCCAGCTCGGGGGTTAGTAACCATAGCAACCAAGCCCCTCACGGACCGCCATCCCTTTAGAATTCCTCTTCTCCACGTAAACAATCTACACATGTGAGGAGGAACACAGAGAGGAATTTTAGAGCGTGCCGAGCAGCAGTAAATCACTTCTTGCTGAATAGTAAGCCGTTTTGAAAGCTCCATTGAAACAACAAAAAAAAGGGGGTGGGGGGGGGGGGGGGGGGGAAGCTGATTAGCCCTCCGTTGTATCCAAATTGACGTCATCATGACACTAGGCCGTTTGTTGCAGCTGTCCGCAAGCAAGTAGTGTGGCATCAGGATGGCTACAAGCTGATGCTCTGTGATCATCTGATCTTTCACAGACACGAGGAACTGGTCACATGGTAGGCTCATGTGCACTTGAGAGACAGCATGCATGCATGCATGCGTGTGTGTGTGTGTGTGTGTGTGTGGCCATATAATAGGGACTAACTTATGGAAATGCCACATGTTTTTCCGAGAGGGTTTGAGCAAGCAAGACCCAGTTTTCCTGTTGTCAGATGTGATTTCAATGACTCGGACCACTTGTGTCAGAACAAATAACTCAGTTAGTTTTATTAATTTTGTTTCGAGATTCAAACCATCCATTCATTAATTTTCCAATGGAGGTGAAACAAAACTCTTTAGTGGACTGCTGCTGGCTAAATGTCACAGATAGTGGCTGCAGTCGAAGTCGTGTTTTCCACTGCCATACCGTTTGTTGGGGAGCTAGTTTGAGGTCGGGGTCTTGATGTATGGAGTAAAGCCACAGAGCCTCCAGCGAGCTGAGGCCCAGCTACAGCAGCGGTCTGTCCCCGCGCAGGGAGACTTCCTTCTGTAACTGACACTGACACAACTGCAGCTGAGGTTGTGTAACTAGAATAGCCTGCCTGCCACACACACACACAAACTTGCATACAGCTGAACCAGTCTGCCAGCTTCTTCGGGCTACGCACTCTTGTGTGCGCGCACACACGCACACGCGCACACACACACACACACACACACACACACACTTGCATCCCGCAAACATCATGCTGGCATTCGACCAGGAGCAAACAAAGCAGGGGAAGTGAGTGAGCATGTAGGCCAGGCAGGCGAGGAGTACAGACGTGGTGTGTATGCCTACGTAATCCTCGTTCCTCCCTCTTGCTATATGCTGCCGTGTTGTACCAGTCGCACCGGGATCCCTCGCTGTTCACATGAGCCACTTGTTAATCAGACGAGATTTTTTTGAGCAGCGGGGCACAAAGCAGTTCTGAGTTGAATCCAATGCATTGTAGTCCTTGTAGGTTGTCTTGACTGACAGTGTTCTAGTTAAGCTGTGTGATAAATCAACATCACTGTTAACTGACTCTCAGTGGAGTCGTACAGTATCGCGATTATTTAGTTCATTTGGATTTAATCGTGCTTTAAATGCTTGTTGGAAAATTAATGATTCAAAGCAATATGTAATTAATAAAATGAGCTGTAGGTCCTTGTTGACCTCCCCGGTTTTCTCACCATCTGAGCACTGTGTACATTCAGTTTATTATTAGGTACACCTAGATAAAACTAACGCTGTCTAATTCAACCATCCTGCAACAAAACGGACCTTGAGGAACGTTATAATAATAAGTGTTTTATATAAGGTGCATTGGTCACATCAACGCCAAAACGTGATTCGTTTAATAAGGTCAGGATTTGTTCTGATACCAAGCCGACAAACGACTAAATCCCTAAACCTAATTACAACAAGCCAATTTCCACACAGTGAGCCTGGGCCCTCTGAGGGTTCTGGGGGCTCTGGGGCAAGTTCCCGCTTTGCTTAGTTAGTAAACCCAGTGAGCATTCAAGCATCGTAAACACTGGAATTCAAAAATCAAAAGCTTGTGAGTGGTCCAATACTAAATATCCTCAAAAGGTCAATCTGTGAGGTGACAGTTTCCAGGCTGACAGCTTCAAACGGTCTGACGTTATGTGATATTACACCGCTGCTCCTCGCTCAGGGCAGTGAGACCACATCAGAGCTGCTGGGTGTCTACAGTCATCTCCAGCAGCATTCAGGACAGTCTGCAGTCTCCTGCTACTCTCATTCAATACACCTAATGTATTTACATAACAGAGTTGCCTCTGAACCTATATCCTGCTCCCAGTGTATCCAGCCCTATAGACGACCTCCTCCTCCTCCTCCTCCTCCTCCTCCTCCTCCTCCTCCTCCTCTCTCACACTCACACAAACTATACACACTGGGAGAGTGGCTTTCCACTAAAGTGAAAAACAGGAAATTGGATGACATTGTTCGGTGCGCACACGTCAGCGGTGAGAGATAGAAAGAGTAAACAGCTTCCTCCACCCCAGAGCTGGGACCAGGATGCAGGGAATCTTGGGATGCCTGCTCCTGCTCCTTAGGACAACGCGCATGGCGGTTCACTAACAATCTCCAGATCCCTCGCTTTGAAAGAGCTCTCTCTCTCCACCTCCCACTCTCTGATAGCACTACTTCTTCAGTTTGTTCCTCCTTAAAACTTCTCCACATGTGGTTGAGTGGAGTATTATATGCAGGGCTGATGACGCTACAACGCTGTTTGACGAGATCAGCATTTCTTCCTTAGAAGAAGTCAACGTGTTGCCGTGTGTTTGTGTTCCTGTCTAAAAGTGTGAATCAAATGGAGATGAATCAATGTTCTTCATTAGGTCTGATTAGAGGAGAGCAGCCCCAGCCACAGGTGTGGACGTACACTGTGTACCAGACAGACAGACAGAGTAACTCTCACACACACTGAGCTAAGTGACGGGCTAAATGGCACCGAGTGACACATCAGCCTCACCACACGCTGAGCCATTCAGATCGTGGTGCTAGCTGCCCATGCTGTGTGAGTTACATCAAAGGGAATAATTCACTTTCATGTGTGGCCACTTACATTTGCTGCCCATAAAGCTGCGCTGAAACAATCGATAACAATGCAGTTTCAAACCAGCAACGACCAGCCTGGCAAACACCTCACCAAATCCAGTAAAATCAGTTTGCACTAACTTTTAAATTAGGAACACATATTTTAGATTAGCCTACTTTCTGACAGCAAAATGACAAAAAAAACGTTTGCTTGTTGCAAGAATCATATATACTACACACTCCAAATATTCAAGTCTTTCCTTTTATGGTGGTAGTTACAGTAGCTCTCAGTTAGTGTACATGTGTCAGTGCATTGTGGTACATTTTTAGTTCATTATATACTGTAGATATTCTGGTGCACCATAGTGAATAGCGAGCAATTTTGGACACAGCGTGGTGGTGTAGAAAATATATAGATGGATATATCCAGCGGGTGACACCTGTCTCTGCAATACAAACTTTACAAAAGTACATTTTGTTTGTGTTTGGTTTTTAGGATAAACAAATCAGATGCACCATTATTTCATAATCTTCAAACCCCCTTTGGTTCTCGGCCCGGTGTGAAGCCAATGATGATTAAGTGGCAAAGTGATGATTAAGTGCTAGAATTCAGAGCTCAATGTGTTGGTATTTTTTAGTAATCTCTCAGAAGGGATTTCATTTTGTTTGTAAATAAAACATGTAATAGGAATTTCTACCTGGTCTCATTATTTAGCATTGCTTTAATAAAGTAGACCAAGAGCGGTAAAATAAAATAAGAAATAGGACACCCTCCCCGCCCAAATAAAAAAATGATCTAATGTATTAATGTAATTGCAGTTCATCGGTTTAGAAAAATAACTGCAACCGTGTGTATTCTGGCTCAGTCCACATGTCTTATCCATGGTGACCAAGCCCACATGTCTTATCCATGGTGACCAAGCCCACAATCAGCCAGGCAGAAGACTTTAGTTGAGTCACTGGCATGGCTGAGGGAAACTAGGCCACTGTGGATCGGTTTGTCCCAGAACATCCTTACTTTCTCTGTATTTCTGCCTCTCTGCCTCTCTCTCTCTCCGTCTGTCTGAGGAAAGACCGACCTCCTGGAACAGAAACTACAATATCCTGTAAAGAACATGCTCTAAAAGAATTTCTTAATGTGAAAACTAGATTAAACTAAATGTTGTATTTATTATTCATCTAATATCTCCCAATGCTTTTTCTTGTTATTCAATGTGTG